TGTTTGGCGGGTCCGGGGTGGGGATTCGAACCTGCCACCTTAGGTGTACGTGGCTGGCGCCTTAGCCGGTTGAGCTATAGGCTCCGAGCCTGGGCAGTGTACTCTTAAGGACAGAATGCTCCTGGCATAGGCATCAGGAATGATGATTATTTAGAGTGCTAATTTGGCACCACTCTTCCCACTCCATGGGTATGTATACTCTTGGTTCTATACTCGATGTTAGTTGGCAGTTCTGGGACTTGTCACCTGTCTCCATGACCCTGCTTCCTTCGGCTGCCAGCAGGGATCAGGTGCCCCTGTGCCCCTTGTCTCCTCCCTCTGCCTACTATCTCCTGCTAACCCCAACTAGACCTGCCACAACCTGCTGCTCCTTGCCTGGCTCCTATCTGCCTGCCAGTACCTGTCTTAGAGGCCAGGCCCACACCACCTATTGTGCCCTAGCAGAGAGGGTAGATGGGTGCCACCTCCAGTACCAATACAAATCCATCCAAGAGGCCTTCCCAGCCCTTCTCACAGAAGGAAAATAAAAGACCTGCTCCTGTAAGTATGGCAAAGGGCACATTCGGGTTTCAGCAATCTTTGTAGGCCTTACCTAGGTACACAGGTGAGTCAAGCTGTGCAGGTCACAGACCTGCTCTGGTTCTTTGAAATGATATTAAGAGACCCAAGAATGCTCTGAGCCAGGAACGGCCCTCCATTGGTATATCGCTACCTCACCATTGCCCTTAATTTCTGCGTCTGCTCTGACCCACGAACCTCGCTGTTACCTTCGAGGTCAGCCCCAGTACCCCAAGTTCAAGCTCTGCGCTGCCCCACGGTCGGGCCAGGAAGGCTAGGGGCGGAGACTGGGCGGGGACTGGAGGAGGGGGCGCGGTCTCAGTTCTGCCACCTTCCCCCTGGCCAGGAGCGCAGCCGCCGCTGCCGCCGCCGCCGCCGCGTCCTCTCAGCCTTGCGCTCCACCCGCTGCCTCTGCCGCCGCAGCCCGGCCCAGGAGCGCAGATCCGGGGGCACCGGTCCTACCACTGCCCACCCTTTGGGCCGTGTGCCGGTTGCAGTTGGCATGGGGGGCTGCTGAGAGCAGGCACTCCTTCTCTCTGGCACCTCCCTGGGCCACTGGCCACGGGACTCTGGCCAGCGAGTCTTGGGCACCTCTGGCCCCCAGTCCAGCGCCTGGCACGGCCCTTGGCTCTGCTCCGACTCTGAGCATCGTGTCCCCGCCCCCCCCCGCCCGCGCCAGGGACACCTGGGTCCCCCGGCGGCCCCTAGGAGAGGGGCGGGGGGGGGCATGAAGCCACTGGAGAAATTTCTAAAGAAACAGACGTCGCAGCTGGCCGGCCGAACGGTGGCAGGAGGTCCCAGCGGGGGTCTGGGGAGCTTCGGCGGGCCTGGAGGGGGTGGGGGACCTGGCGGGGGCGGCGGTCCAACCGGGGGACTGCGGCCGTTGCAGCGGCGTCAGAGCGTGTCTCGACTGCTGCTCCCAGCTTTCCTCCGGGAGCCCCCAGCGGAGCCCGGGCTGGAGCCACCCCCTGAGGAGGAAGGGGGAGATCTGGCGGGGGTCGAGGAGGAGCCGGGCAGCGGGGGACCCTGCTGGCTGCAGCTGGAGGAGGTGCCAGGACCTGGGCCACTCGGGGGAGGGGGTCCTCTGCGCTCCCCTTCCTCATACTCCTCAGACGAGCTGTCCCCGGGCGAGCCCTTGACTTCACCGCCCTGGGCCCCCCTGGGCGCCCCCGAGCGGCCGGAGCATCTTCTGAATCGGGTTTTGGAGAGGCTGGCTGGAGGGGCCACCAGGGACAGCGCTGCCTCAGGTAAGGAGCCTGCGGGCTCATCCATCCTGGAGCAGGGGGTGCCCTTGGAGAGTGGGGGTGGTGCTGTGCTAGGATCAGGGTGTGGGGTCGAATGATCCCCCGAAACGGGTAAAGGCCTAGCTGAGGACAGACCCTCCATTGGAAGAGAAGTGGCAGTGCCCGCCTTCCTCCCTGTAGCAGCCTCACCAGTGGCTGGAGAAGAAGCTGAGCCCCTCTCTCTCCTTAAACCACCCTTGCTTTCCCCTGGACATTTTAGCCACAGACTGCCATAGGTCCCTGATCTTGACTACCTCCTCTGTGGCCTCAAATTAGGGCCTGACACACTAAGATGGAAGCTACCTAGCACGCTCAAGAGGTTCCCAAACGCTGAAAACCTTGACAGGGGTCCCTGATTATGTTTAGAAGCGCCCAGATTACAGGATGGCCTACTCAGGGTCCAAGCTGCCTTTTGGGATTGAGCAAAGGGATGCATTGTCCTTAGCAGTTTGGGGGGGGATAGCATTCTGCTTGGGGAAAGTGTCTGTGAGGGGAGGGGTGGCTGGGCAGGCATGGGGGCCCTGCAGTATCTAGGGGTGTCTGAGCCTCCCTAGCTCCCACCCTTCCGGTGGCAGGCCTCAGCACACCGCCTCTTTAAAAAATAATAACCACACCCTAAATGATGCTTATTCCCTAAATGATGGTAGTATTTCACCACTCCCCAGTGGTGTCCCTACTAAGCAGACTTTGAGGAAACTGAGGCCCCAAGTTGCTGGTTAGTGGCTGAGGTAGAAGCTGTAGGTGTCTTTAGGTCTGGCTGTAGGCATTGCACTAAGCCCAGGAAGGTCTGAGGTTTGGGAGCCCTTGCTGAGGCCATAATGATAGGGGCTTTCACACTGCTCTCAGCCTTCGCAGGGAACTCCAACCTAGGTTGTGGGAAGTGGGGTTCCACTTCCCTAGATTTTTCTCAAGACCTGAGTCCTCTCTTTTGGCTCAGGCTGTAGTTGCCCTGGGGAGCTGACACCTTTTGGATTTAATTAGAAAAATATCAGACACACACAGCTCTCCTAACCATAACTTCCCACCTACACCACACACCCTGTGTGTCTATGACACATTCCCTGGGGAGGCTGTGCATTGGACCACAGCCTGCCTGGAAAGAGACAGACGCCAAACTGTAGCCCCCATGCCAGCATCTCCCCCACTCTGCCCCGTGTTCCTCTTCCTTTGCTCTGGCTTAGCTGTCCTGTGAGAGAAAGAATCTAGGCAGGATGTCAGGCATCTCTATTCCTTACATCCATCCCTGGAGCGGAGGGGCAGGGCTGGGGTCTCTCTGACTCACTTTAAGAACACAACAGAAGAGCAGGCATGGTGGCTCATGCCTGTAATTCTAGCTTGGAGGCTAAGACTGGTTGATTACCTGAGCTCACGGGTTCAAGACTAGCTGAGCAAGAGCAAGACTGTCTCTAAAAATAGCCAGGCATTGTGGTGGGCACCTGTAGTCCCAGCTACTTGGGAGGCTGAGGCAAGAACATCACTTGAGCCCAAGAGTTTGATGTTGCTGTGAGCTATGATGCCATTGCACTCTACTGAGGGTGACAAAATGATACTGTCTCAAAAAACCAAAACAAAAATTAAAAAAACAGAGTAACTGGGCAGAGAAGAGAAAGAAGAAACTATATTTCCCCTTCCTTGAGGGGCCTGGTAAGACACACTCTTCTCAGTCTTCCCTGGAGTGGAGTAAGACTCTTAAATTTACTGTCACACATATTATAGGTTAGATCCCCAGAGAAACTAGTTTGGGAAACTCCAAACTAGTCTCAGAGTAAATGAGAATCAGCTTAACCTACCACTCTGACATTCTCTAATGTAACCAATATTCTTAAGTGGTCTCAATTTCTTCCCAGCGTGTGTGGGAAGAGGGAACTTACAGAAGGTACTCTAAACCTAACCAAAGCCCCTTAAATGTCTACACAGCTCCATTGGACCACTAGATTCTACCCTGACATCTACCCCGACACTCTGCTTACCTCAGGGATATTGAAAAATAAACAAACACTTAGGATTATGGGTTATTATTCCAGCTCCAGGCTAATCCCTCCCAGCTCTGGGCCTCAGTTTCTCTGAAGTGAAATAGTTGAAGTGGATAATCTTGTGTTGGTTCTCCTCTGCCTTCATAGTTATAATTGACTACCAGGGGATGATTAGCTAAGGGCCATCAAAGCCTTGGTTTTTGTCTTGGTGCAGCGCCTGGGGACCTGGCCTTAACCTGTCTCAGGGAGGACACCTGGCTCCTTCCCTGCACCTTGCCTGTTTGTGTGTGCCAGGCGGCCCTACCCCACCCCAGGGCTGGCTGCAAGTCAGGGCGACCTTGTACCTGGCTGACTGGCTGAGCCAGGCCCAGACAGGGGGGTGTGGAGGGGAAAAGGGTGGTGAGAGGAGCCACTCCTCTTCACCCTTCCGTCATTAACCCTTATGTCTCTGGGCACCCAAAGGACACAGTTTCTATTTAAAGGCTCTGAGATCAAAGAGATTGCAGTCTCTCTCTCTTCCTTTTAATGGGGCTGGTTCCCACCTGCCTTGTTGAAACTCAAAGCTATTAGGCAGAGAGTGGAGAGGGGAGGAGGGACACACACACTCTGATGCTAACCTCTGGGTTTAGAAGTCTTCTTCATCTAGGGACCCTGTGGCTATTTCTTTTTTCAGGCAGATGTCAAACTTGGTATTATCTGACAACATCCCACATACACTGAGAAGTGCACATGGCCATCAGAGGCACGCCCCCCTCTTCCCTTCAGCTGCCTTGGCAGCTGCCACCTCCCACCCCCGCAGCGGCTGCCCAGAACCTTTACACAGTGTGTGTGCACGTGTGCAGAGCATGATGGGGCAGGTGGCTGGGGCTCCAGGCTGGCTAAAGAGAACTGGCCCTCAGGGGTAATAGAGGGAGGGACTGGGTTTCCAGTCGGGTTCGGGAAGTGCTCTCCTGACATGCCTGATACTCGCTGATCTCTGCAGATAGCCTGCTGGATGACATCGTCCTCACCCATTCTCTCTTCCTCCCCACCGAGAAATTTCTGCAGGAGCTACACCAGTAATATCCTTTTGTGCAGCTTGTAAAAGGAGAGGTCAAAAGAGAGCCACTCCTTCCATCCTACACACAATGTCAGAGCCTGAGCTCACCTAGAAAACACACCTGGGTTTCAGTCCCAGCTTTTCTGCTTACCAGCTGTGTGACCTTGGGCAGATCACCTAACCTCCTGGGCCTCAGTTTCCTCGTCTATAAAATGGAGATAAACAGCACCTGCCCTGCCTACCTACAGGGCTGCTGTGAAGATCAATCCGATAGCAGTTGTAGGAGTACTCTGGAAACTGCAGAGCCCTGTACAAATGTAAGGTGTTATTATTCTATTAAGGATGCCCCCCCCAACTGAATTATTGCTCTAAATATCTGGTTGCCCAGTGAGTTATTACAGGGTCTAATGTAAACATTAGGCCATGGCTGTACTTCAGGAGGGTCTGCTAGAGACAAGCCACTGGCTGGGCTATTCATAGGGTCTCATGTAAGCATTGGCCCTCCCACGGAGTTATTTTAGGACCTAATTGTAAATGTCAGGCCACTGAATAGAATTTCATAGGCTCTCTTAGAAACATCAGGCTTTACAATTAGGAATAGTCAGGGTTTTATTGAGTGCCATTGGCCTTTATCAGCTGTGCTGTGAGCTATAAACCCGGGGCTGGCCAGAGGTTAGATGGGTTCCCGGTAGGGTATCCTTGAGTGAAAATCTAGTAAACAAGAGCTGGATGTGGTCAAGCAGGTGTCACTATTAGCTACTCTAAGCAAAACCTTGGGCTAGGTCATGGGCAGGTCTTGGCTCTAGGACCCCTGAACCTCCTTTTTGTCTGGTCCCAAATCCAGATAATATTTGGGAGTAATTTAGCCTCTAATATTTCTTCTCTATTCCTCAGATCTGCCGGTCCAGGGATTTTTCTTAACTTAGGGGTCAGCTTTGTTCAGGCAGGGAGCATGGAGGGCCCTGAGGGGCTGGGCCGGAAGCAGGCCTGTCTAGCCATGCTTCTCCATTTCTTGGACACCTACCAGGGGCTGCTGCAGGAGGAAGAGGGGGCCGGCCACATCATCAAGGTGGGCCTGGGGCAAGAGAAGGGGGGTGAGCAGGCTGCTTGCTCTGGAGGGGAGCCCTTTGAAAGAGCCATATGCTTCAAGCTGGAAATGTGGAAGGAAAAGATGCCAGTGAGCCTTAGCTTACATGGCTTTCTGTACTCAAAGAATTGAAGACTTTGCCCCAGCCCTTGCAGAGAGTCAGAGGATGATCCTTGGGATGAGAACCCTGCCTTCATGTTCTCTGTGCTCCTCTCCCCAGGATCTGTACCTGCTAATTATGAAGGATGAATCCCTTTACCAGGACCTCCGGGAGGACACTCTGAGGCTGCACCAGCTTGTGGAGACAGTGGAGCTAAAGTGAGGGGGAATGAGTTGGGGAAGGGGACAGGAAAGAGATCCCCCTGGGTTCCTCTATTATGGGGGAGGGGGGCTGCCTCTGGCCTTTTGGCTCCAATATGGTTTTATTTTAGCTCTTTTCTCTTACTGGAGAGTAGCACAAAGCATTGTATCCAATCTGTTTTTTGTCTATTCTGCCATCTATTTGTCTGTCAATTCAGTGTTGTACTGATAAATATTTAAAACCAGGGCTTCAGGAGAAAGAACCCTGATTTGTAGCTTTTGCTGATTCCCATGGTGTAAATTCTCTCTCCGTGGGTGACTATGACATCACTGAATACAGAGTTGGGAAGAGATGTGCAGAAGCAAGGCATGCTGTAGTGTTTCCACCAGACAAATACAATAGACATAAAAAACCTTAGGAACATAGGTAATGGTAAAATGTAGCAAAAGAATTAGGAAAAGAGGCTGGGTGCAGTGGCTCACACCTATAATCCTAGCACTCTGGGAGGCCAGGGTGGGTGGATTGCCTGAGCTCACAGGTTTGAGACCAGCCTGAGCCAGAGTGAGACCTCGTCACTAAAAATAGATAAGCATGTGGCAGGTGCCTATAGTCCCAGCTACTTGGGAGGCTGAGGCAAGAGAATTGCTTGAGCCCAAGAGTTGGAGGTTACTGTGAGCTGTGACAACATGACACTCTACCAAGAATACGAAAGTGAGACTCTTATCTCCAAAATAAATAAATTAATTAATTAAATAAAAATAAAAGTAGCCAGGCAGTGTGGCAGACTCTGTCTCAAAAAAGAAAAGAAAAAAAAGAAAGAAAAGAATTAGGAAACTACCTTTTTGTAAATTTATTTGACCATGAGTTTATAAAACATGCATTCATGTATTTATGTACATATATATGTTTATATTTTTTTTCATGGTTGTTTAAAAGCCAGTTGGCAAAATTCCCAAAAACATAATAGTCTGCTCCCACAAGCCAGTGTGAACCAGCTTCAGGACACCACTGCATCTACCCATCTGTCCATCCATCCAGTCAGTGATCTATCCCTTCCACTCTTTCCATTTCTTTCCTCTCCATTCCTACCACCACAACCCTTATTTGGGCTCATTATCTCTTACCTGGCTTATTTTTTTTTTTTGAGACAGAGCCTCAAGCTGTCCCCCTGGGTAGAGTGCCATGGCATTACAGCTCACAGCAACCTCCAACTCCTGGGCTCAAGCGAGTCTCTTGCCTCCGCCTCCCAAGTAGCTGGGACCACAGGCGCCCGCCACAACGCCTGGCTATTTTTTGGTTGCAGCCATCATTGTTGTTTGGCGGGTCCGGGCTGGGGGTTCGAACCCGCCACCTTAGGTGTACGTGGCGGGCGCCTTAGCCGGTTGAGCTATAGGCGCCGAGCCTCTTACCTGGCTTATTGCCACAGCCTCTATCCAAGGCTTCAGCTTGTGGTCCTGTGTCTTTCTCTTCCTTCCCTCCCTTCTCTATGCTGACACCAGTGAGATCTTTCAAACTTCCAGAAATGATGCCATCAGCATCCATGCTCCTTGCTCCCTCCAAAAGAAGTTAAACATCCCAGCATAGCATTCAACACCCTTCCCTTTCTGTCTTCTGCTGTCACTTGCCATCTCATCTCCTATGTCCCTCTTCACCCATGACATGCCCTACACACCCCACCATTCTCTCAATTCCTTTCCTTTCCAGAGAACTTCTTGTTGTCCGTTAAACTGTCCACCCAGAATGCTCTTATTCCACCCTCTTCTCTTCCTGTTGTCCTCCAAGGCCCAGGTCAAATGCCATCTTCTCTTATTTTTTTTTATTATTATTTTTTAAGCAGTTTTTGGCTGAGGCTAGGTCTGAACCTACCACCTCTGACACCTGGGGCTGGTGCCCCACTCCTTTGAGCCACAGGAGCCACCCAAATGCCATCTTCTCAATGAAAACTTCCCAGGTCCTCCTTTCAGGAATAGCGTTTTCCGTCCTGCAGACTAACATAACTGTCCTAGTACCTTTGTTATATCACTGACACCTCCTGCCTAGTGATAGAAGTAGCTGTATGCATGTCTATCTCCCTCCCAGACTGTGAAATTGTTGTTGGCAAAATTCAGCAAACAGCTGATGACCTACTACCTACCATGTGCCAAGCAGTATGCTAGGCCCTGGAGGATAGAAAAAAAATTCAGTAAGAACCAATCTCTGTCCTCAAAAGCTCTTGATCTTATGGCAGAGATAAGATATGAACACAAATAAGTATTATCCCAATGTTCTACAGTAGCTGAGGCAAGGAAGTGACCCTTCCTGGTGGATGGGGTGGGTCAGAGAAGAATTCATGGAAAAGGTGGCATTTGATTTGGGTTACTTAGAGAGTTGTTTCATGCTGTTCATTGTCCTCTCTTCTGGCCCTCTTAACCACCACCTGAAACTGTTGCTGGTGCATCCTTGACCCAATTCTGATATTCCTGCTTGATGTTGCCTGCTTGGTGCTCCATATGCCTGGCAGGGCTTGCTGATGCCCAGCTGTGTCCATGCCAGGATTCCGGAGGAAAACCAGCCGCCCAGCAAGCAGGTGAAGCCACTCTTCCGACACTTCCGCCGGATAGACTCTTGCCTGCAGACCCGAGTGGCCTTCCGGGGCTCTGATGAGAGTGAGTGTGGGCATTTAGGAAAGGTGGGACATCCTGAGTAGGTCAGGAGGACAGGTGGGGGTCTCTGCATCTGGAGCAGCCTCAGTGTAGTCTCCCTGTGTAGTAGAACCAACCCCTTTCACAGCACCTTCATTGGAGGTCAGCCCCGGGTGGGGAACAGAGGGGCTCTGCTGCTCTGCCCTCTGTTGAAAAGCTGCTTTCTGTCTCTGTCCAGTCTTCTGCCGGGTCTACATGCCTGACCACTCCTACGTGACCATACGCAGCCGCCTTTCAGCATCTGTGCAGGACATTTTGGGCTCTGTGACGGAGAAACTGCAGTATTCAGAGGAGCCTGCAGGGCGTGAGGAATCCCTCATCCTGGTAGCTGTGGCCTCCTCTGGAGGTGAGGATCAGGAAGAACTGGGCTGATGGCCTGAAGAGGAGAAAATCACAAGCTCAGTGCCCTGGGGCAGGGGTAAAGACTGAATTCTAGGTCCTTGCTACTCAAAGTAGGGGAACCAAACCTCATGTATATTACCTGGGAGCTTGTTAAAAATGCATCTGAAGAGTGGCGCCTGTGGCTCAAAGGAGTAGGGCGCCAGTCCATATGCTGGAGGTGGTAGGTTCAAACCCAGCCCCAGCCAAAAACTGCAAAAAAAAAAAAAAAAAAGCATTGCATCTGAAACCAGTAGTCCTGTAGTCTCGGCCACCTGAGGTGGCTAAGGCAGGAGCATCACTTGAACCCAGGGGTTCAAGGCTGCGGTGTATTATAATCACACCTGTGAATAGCCTCTGCACTCTAGCCTGGCAACATAGTGAGATTTCCTCTCTAAAGAAAAAAAAAAAAGAAAGAAAGAAAAACAATTAAAAAATATATAAAACAGCATCTGAGATCCCACCTAGACTGGCTGGATCAGAATTGGCATTTAAATAAGCCCCTCAGGGATTCCTATGCACATTAAAATTTGAGAAGCACTGGTCCACAATTCCTGGGTTCAGATCTAGGTGCCTCCTCACCCATCTGGGAATTGTGTTCTGGTCCTTTAGCCTCATTGTGCATCTAAGGATGCTGTATTTTTCATGCGAAAGACACAGCGTGGGTCACTAATCCCACTGAGAAGGCAGAAAGCCAGTTATGTAGGAACAGCCTTATTTTTTCAAGGATGGGAAAACATTCCTGCCTTTCCAATGTCACGGGGATGATAGAATAAGAGAAGAGCTGTGAAAGAATGTTGGGGGGGGAATAAAAAGAGATTATAAATGCCAAAGTAATCATCATTTGACAAATTTCAGGTAAATATGGCATGAACTGGTGATGAGTCCTGTTAGTTTATGTGCCATTGTGGGGTTAGGAGTTTCTGGAGAGGATAGGGACAGTGCCTGGGGGGCAGGGGTGAAAGTGCAGGTGTCTGAAGCTGAGGCTGAGCAGCTCTTCTTCTGCAGAAAAGGTCCTTCTCCAGCCGACTGAGGACTGTGTCTTCACCACACTGGGGATCAACAGCCACCTGTTCGCCTGCACGAGGGACAGCTATGAGGCCCTGGTGAGAACTCCTTTGCAAGGCCTTGACTTGGAGCAAGGGCAGAGTGGGGGCCATGAGCAGCCCTTCACCCTGCTACCAAGAGTCCATCCCTTCTTCCCCTACCTGCCACCAGGTGCCCCTCCCGGAGGAGATCCAGGTCTCCCCTGGAGACACAGAGATCCACCGCGTGGAGCCTGAGGACATTGCCAACCACCTCACTGCCTTCCACTGGGAGCTGTTCCGCTGCGTGCACGAGGTGGGGATTGAGCCTAGCACTGGGCTCGGGGACTAGAGGGAGAAATGTGCCTTAGGCAGAATCTACAGCAGAACGTCCTGGTTATGAGGCTCACTGGCAGCATGCCCTTGGGCACTGCATGGCCATAACCTCTTTGTCCCTTCATCTGAAAAAATGCCCAAGAAAGAGACCCTATGAATGGTTCAGGGCCCAAGTGTGGCTTACACAGAACCTGACCCAGGGTTAGTACTTCTAAAATATTCACCACTGGCTCAGCACAGTTGCTCATGCTTATAATCCTAGCACTCTGGGAGGCCGAGGTGGGTGGACTGCTTGAGCTCAAGGGTTGGAGACCAGACTGAGCAAGAGTGAGATCCCCATCTCTACTAAAAATAGAAAAACTAGCTGGGTGTTGTGGTGGGTGCCTGTAGTCCCAGCTACTCTGGAGGCTGGAGGCAAGAGAATCACTCCAACCAAGGAGTTGGAGATGGTTGTGAGCTGTGGCACTATAGCACTCTACACAGGGTGACAGAGTGAGACTCTGCCTTAAAAAAATCAAATAGGGCTGCACCAGCTGCTCAGTGAGTAGGGCGCTGGTCCCATATACCGAGGGTGGCCGGTTCAAACCCGGCCCC